GAGTCATGCCCTCCTGGGACTTAAAGTTCTTGGGCTCTGCTCTCAGGAACCCCAATCACAGCTCTCTTGCAGTTGACTTCATAGCTTTGCAGGAGGTCTAAGGGTGCATAGGTATCACTCCGACATTTGGATCATGGGAATAAAGACCCAACATGTATCATTTTAACCAATTCTGGTCACTCTTCATATTCAAGGTAATTTTAATAATGTGAAGAAGAATTTTTCTAGTTCCTCCATTACAAAATGTATTAGAAGTACACCAATACACAATTTCTAGGAAGAATTTTATTGAATTATGCACATGGACCCAGACAATAGTGACTGTTGCCTCCCTTCAACAAACCTGACACAGGAGGCAGAATAATGACCCCCCAAAAATGTCTATACCCTCATCCTTGGAAGCTGTGAATATATTACATTACATGGCAAAGGGGAGTTAAGGTTGCAGATGGGATCAAAATTGCTAGTCAGCTGATCTTAAAATAGGGAGATTATCCTGGATTACCTGGATGGACTCAATGTAATCACAAGGATCTTTAAATGTGAAAGATGGAGGCAGAAGAGTTAGTGATAGAGTGATGCGAGTGAGGACTTGACTCGCCACTGTTGGCTTTGAAGATGGAAGGGGCCACGAACCAAGGAGTGCCAGTGGCCCCTCGAAGCTGGAAAAGGCAAGGAAATGGATTTACCGCTAGAGCCTCCAGAAAGGAACATAATCCCATCGACATCTTGATTTTAGCCCAGTTAGAGCCATGTTGGACTTCCGATCTCCAGAACTGTAAGAGAATGAGGTTTTGTTGTTTTCAGCCACTGCGATGGTGGGGATCTGTTGCAGCAGCCAAAGGAAACGAATACACCTGCAGGACGCATTTCATCTAACACGACAGAGGCAGGTAGCTGGTCGGAGCAGCCCGGCATCAAGAATACGGTTATGTACCGCCCCGGGCTGCTGGCCAAAGACATTCAGGAACACAAGGCAAGAAGTTGGGTCTCCCCAAATACCAATGTTTAGATCAGAAGGAATTTTGATCATTTGTGTAATGATTGAAATAAAAATGACAAAAAGAAATATTTTCTTCAAATGTAGAATAGCCCAATGGCAGATTTGAAACCAATCCTAAATTTCAATTTCTTCGGAATGAATGGATCCTTTGAACCATTTTGCTTTTCACCAGGTTGGAGTACATCTAAAATGAAGAATGAGGGAAATTACACCTATGTAAACAGGTCTTTTGAAAATTTAATAGTAATATCCCCAATCTCAAGTTCTTATGCAAAATTCCAGTATGTATTTTTTTTGGTGACTAAAAGAATGGTGTTTCTTGTGTACCTAAATTGTGAGTCTTGTTTACTAGGATAATTGGGATAACAATAACACTTTACTCCTCATTCTTTCTTGTGTCTTCAGATGGACGTGGCTTGCCCACACAATAGTGTACCTGGAATGTGCAAAACCGGTGCAGGAGTCGATGCCTTATCTCTGACTTTTCTGCTCTGAGTTGTTGTTCTTGCTTCTTTCTCTCTTCCTCCACTCATTTTGATCTCTAAGCCTCAGCTTTGATAACATGCCCTTGTCTCCCACTCCACATCCCCATGACGTTGGTTGATCTGTTGGGGACATACTTCCCTGCCTTCCCTTTAGCACCTCAGGGCACAATTTTGGTGTCTGCTCCCTAGTCTCGTGTAGCTGGCAGGAGATAAAGACATCCAGTCTGCCTTCCATCCACCCTGCCTCCCACGGCCAAGCCTCTGGGCGGGGTTCTGACCCTCCTCCTGCTCAGCCATACTTGTGTCCCTACCTGCACACCCTTTTGGAGATAGAGGCCGATCAAGTAATCTGCACACCATCATGAACTTCAAATGGTGACAACTTCATCAGCTCATTGATTCCGTCTTACGGAGTGCGCTGTCTTTGTTGTTTCGCTGAAATTGATTGAGTGTACTTGTAAGAACTTTTTAAGGTTTACAACGAATCCTAGATCTACTAGCCCTGTTTTTTTCTGTATAATCTTTTATTTCTCAGCTATAAATTCTTCTATCTTTGGGATTTTCAGAAGCCAAATTCCCACGCTTGGTGAGGAGCTGCTGTATTGAAAATGTGAATTGATTACGTGATGTGGCGTTTCAGATTTTAGTTAGGTGTCATCTCCTAAAACATCACGTTAATATTCAATATCTTTTCAATGCCAATCATTGTTAAAATAAGAGCATGGAGGAGATTTTAAGGGAAATGCTCTCAAGCAGCATTGCACAGATTTCATGCAACTTATCATTTTATTAAACTAGAGCACCAGTTGTCTGTAAGGTCTGGTAGGGAACAGATGCAGCAATGAAGGAGTTTGAGTTCAGATTCAAATATAAGGCTGTCAAACCAGAAACCCCTCCACTGGAAGCACATTTTCTCCTGCACAATTCTATCTATAGAGGGCGGGAAGGTGTCTAGAGACTTCCAGCCTGCACCTAAGGAAGTTCATGGATGGCAAAGAAACACCTCTGAGTAATGTGGGAGGCACCCTGATAAGGGGATGGTGTTTCCTTGACTGTGAAGGTGCCCCAGTGGCTTCCCCGGCCCCTGAGTTTGGCTGTGTTCCTGTTAATGTCAGGAAGTCAGGCAGCATTCCTGGGAAAACGAAGAGGATTCCAGACAAATGAGAATTACTTCGGACAGACATTGTCTAGAAGCTGTCATTCTTCGGTCAGTTGCAACAAAGGACAATCTGATCCTCCTGCAATATAATTAGCACCTCACGTGGAGTGACCAGATTTGCAAAAGGAAAGCAATAATAAAATAACATTGATATAGCAATTTATACTTTACAAAGAGATTTCTCGAGCATGTCTGTGTTTGATCCCTGTAGACCGGGCAAGGAGAATTACTTCTTTTTATAGATGAAGAATAGAGAGAGGTCGACTGGCCCCTCATGACGCAGCTGCTGTGTGGGAGAAACCAGTCTCCCGGATGCACTTCTGCCACCATCCGTCACCCACTGGCGATGGAGAAGAGCCCCCAGCTCTTCAGACTCCCAGCAAAAGAGACTGAAACTCACAGAACGGGGGGCTTTGTTTGCCGTTACGCCGCTCAGGGGATCACTGCAGTAAAAGAAGCTTTTCTACGGGAGGTGTCGAGGAGAGGAAGACAGAGTGAGGGCGAGGAGGGTGGAGCTTGAGGAGAGAGAGAAAGAAAATGAGAACCATAGCCTGAAACTGAAAAGCAAAACAATCAAAGATTTTCAGAGGGAACAACACTTCGAGGGAGAGAACCACAGAGGTGAGATGCCCGTGACCCCGGGCCTGATCTGGCATCGCAGGACCACCTGACTAAGCACGGGAGTGGACTCCCAGGCCACCTTACTTGGAAGGGGCATCCGTCTACAGGGACAAAAGGTGTTCATAGAACATGCTGGAGATGCACAGCGGGGAGCAGGGGTTCCTGGACTGGTGGCTCCCTGGAGGCTAGGACAAAGGGCAGAGCAGATGGACGGCCAGCCCCAGAGGCATGGGTGGTACTTCTGCTTCCATCATCTGGGAGCTCACTCGCCTCGCTGTCCCCAGGCGGTTAGTGCAACATGGGAATCCTTAATGGGAGTGAGGAGGGGACCCGTCGCTGGATGCCCATCCCTCAGCCGCTCCGACCAAAGCCCACTGTCATAGGGCTTTGCTGAGGGTCACTTTTCTGAGTCATGGACTATCCACGTCACCTTGAAAAGAGGTTTCCTCTGACCCCTGAGGGTGGGGGAAGGCAGAACGTCGGGTTAGTGCTGAGTGCCAGTGAGGCTACAAAGAGGATGGCCTGTTTGTTGCTCCTTCTGTCTGCATCCTTTCACCCAGGGCCCATAGCCGGAACGACACCTTAGAACTGGAGGAAGGGAAAACGCCTGACACGCTCCTCACACGCATCGGACATTGCTTGTCACCCACTGCTGTCTTCCCACTAAGCCTGGACATAGCTTGCCAAGACGCTGTCATTCCTCAACCACTCGGAATCGGGGTGACACAGGATACCTCTGTGCCAACTTCCCCTAGTTGTTTGGGTAACTTCGCATGCCTGTGATTCTTTTGTGATGCACAAAGTACAGGCTGGGGGTGGCAGAGGTGGCATGCTCCATTATGGGAAGCTGCCAGAAGCTCAGGTGTCCCAGGTAAGTATGTGCCCCCATCTTTACACAGGCCCAAGGTTATTAGAGACTTTAGTGCCTTGACAGATGTAGAGGCGGGAATGGGAAAGGTAAGGAGAAGGATCCCTCAGGTATGGGACATCCCAAACAGTGCAGGGGTGGAGGTGCCCTTGGAAACACCCCTGGCCACTGTGAACAGAACAAATGTGCTACAGCTAATGACTACTAGGACGGTGAGTCTTCACAACTAAAAAACCAAACAAGAAAACAAAACCAATGGCAAAAGAAAAACAAGGAAAGGACTACTGGCCACTTGGCTTTTTCGGAGAAAGGTATCCAGCTTACACTATTTTTATGTGTCTGGTGTATTTCTAAAGCCACAAAACAAGTTGACGATGATTTACTGACTTTACAACTTAATTCGTAGCTGCTTAGTATCTCACACTGAACCTCAGTTTAGTATTGAACTGAACTCAGCTTTGGGAAAAACTTTAATTTACCATCCAGCCAGAGCCTAAAGTCAAAATAACCACTAGTTTCTCAGTTCAGTCAAATAATGGGTTGATTCGGGGAAGAAGAAAACAGTTGTCTGAGTGAAAGGGTGGAAGAGATTGGAAGAGATTGTGGCAGATCTCAGCACAGGCCGGGCGCTGAGCCTGTGGCCAGCTCATCAAGTTTTCCTCCCGCGCAGACGGTGTTCTCAGCGGCACCAATGTCTGTGATTATCTGATGGGACCATTAGAAAGTCTGAATGGCTGGGTTGTCTCTCCTGCCAGTCTCTTCTCCTCATAACTAAGGGTTATTATGTGTGAAAGAAAAAGACATAAAGTGGAAAAGCGATAGAATTGAAAAGACAATGAAGAGCTGAATTTGAATATGTCCTTTCAATTTAGTGCTTTATTTAAGGGTTTCAACTCAGAGCTTAAAGCCATTATACTTTTTCGAGCCATCCAGGAAGTCATGTCAGTTTCCAGGAGGTTGACTCACTGGGGCCACTTGCAGAGTTTGCACGATCATCTGTTTCGTGGGGAAGATAAAAGGCTGCATTGGGCTTCACGTTGTCCTTTGTGGGCCTCCAACGCCGTTCTCTTCAGTCATCCACACGCTTTTTCCAAAGGCCTATTGACTTCAGAGAGGGTTATTATTCCAAATGCAATTTGGTTAGATGTACGAAAGAAAAATGCTTAAATATCAGAAACCACTCTCTAAGCTAATGGCCCCTTTGAGTGCACAGTAATAAAGCTGAGAGTCCACCACAAAATTAGAGATGCTCCAACATGGCAGTTTTAGTCTTGGGTTAAGGTCAAGTTACTTACACTCATCCATGCACTTCTTTCCCCTTGTTTCACTATTTAGAATTGTCTAGCACATTGAATAACTATATAAATGTTCTGAACATGTGTTTGACATGGTAGTATGGGGATCAGGAAAGTATAAAAGGCCCAATCTCTAGCTCCAAGGATTACATCCTCCCGCCACTGCCCCCACGGCCCCTTTTATATTTGTTAGTACTTCCCCCATTCTCTTAGTCTTCCCCTCTATATGTAGATAAATTCTATTTTTTTCCTTTACTGGTGTGTCTCTCCATTTGGGTGGCTGCTCTTTGGACCTGGGAGAAGAGGGACCCTCTCGGGGAAACTGACAAGCTCGAAGGTCAAAACTAACCAAAGCTCAAGGTTTGTTACATTGTCCATGCTGAAGTATTTTAAAGTACACCGCAGTTAACATACAAATCCCTCGAGAAGATGTTAGGAAATCAGATAGAAGACAGAGGGACTTCAGAAAACCCTATTTGTCCCATCATTAGCTCTCTTTTTAATTTCTTTCTTCCTTTTTAGCTCTTTCCAACCATCCTCCAGCATTTCCATTTATAACGAACAGTCTTAAACATAATCATTTCTCTGTGAATATGTGTATGTTTTCCCTATTCTTTTTAGATTAGTCATAACTTACTGAAATTTAGTGGAGAACCTATCAACAAAAGGGAAGCGTGGACAAAGCACAACCCCTGGGAGAAGGCGTGAGGCTGGGAGGCTGCTGTGTCTTTTGGGACGGGGCTGATGATTGTGAAATGGGTGCTGTTTAGGACAAGTGGGAACCAGTAGGAATGGTGGGTTCCTTCTAGGACTGCATAAGAAGAGGGATGAAAATTACACCCATGGTAATTTACATTTTTTTACCTGCCACATTGGCAAAAAAAAAGATAACACAAAGATGTGTGGAAACAAGCACTCATAAATTATTGGCAAGCATGCAAACTGATATCCTCTACAGAATACATTTGGCCAATATCTATGAGAGTTATCATTTCATATGCACTTTGATCCAGAAACCCCACCTCTAGGAATTCACCGTGCAGATCCGCGTGTGTGCAGAGATATATGTGGGAAGACAGTCCTTGCAGCGTTGCTTATAGTAACAACTGAAGTAAACAGTAAATAGTAGGGAAATGTTAAAATAGATAAAATAAGGGACATACAGTGTAATGCTGTATGTAACCATTTTTAAAAATGAGGCAGCTCTGTACTGATATGGAACAATCCTTGCACCAATTATCTGTTGCCACCATAGTGTCGTGTAACACACCATGCAAAATTCAGTGGCTTAACACAATAAGCAGGTATTCTGCTCATGAGTCTGCAGGTTGTTGATTTGGGCTGGGCAATTCTAGTTTTAGCTGGATGGTGGCCAAAGTAGCCCAGGAGAAATTCCTCACCGTCCACCACCAAATGTGCCATCCTGCCTGCATTGGTGCCCATCGATTCCACCTTCCCTTGGGTCACCATGGGTGCACCGTCCAGGTTCCTGTCTGGGGCTCACCTTTCCATGAGATTACCTCTTTAAGACTTTGACCCTGCAATTGTCTCCTTTCTCTAGAATCATCATATTGCTTCTCTATGCTATATCATTTCTTTAAAACATGTTGTATTGCCTTGCATCTAAAAACAAAATACCTTCCGTAAACCCACTGACCCATTTCTCCCTTCCTCTTTTCAGCAAGAATCCAGAGCTCCCTATACTCACCATCTCCATTTCCTCGCCTTCATTCTCTCCTGAACCCCTCTCCCGTCCAGCCACTGTCCCCATCAATCCGCACATACTGCTTTTGCCCATGTCTCCAGTGGCTTCCACGTGGTCCCATTAAATGCTTCCTTTGTCCTCCCCTTACTTAGCCTCTTGGCAGCATTTGGCAGTTGATCACTCCACCCTTCTTGAAACTCTTTCTTTTCTTGGCTGCTGAGACACGACTCTCCTTGCTCTCCGTCTGCCTCACTGGCCACTACTTCTCATTTTCTTTGGCTGCATCCTCTTCGTCCTCCTGACCCCTTTCTGCCACAGTGCTCCAGGGCTCGGTCCTCAAGTCTCTTCTCTTCTCTCTCCACTCATTTCCTAGGCAATTTCATCCTGTCTCATGGTTTTAAATACCAACTAGATGTTGACGGATCTCAAATTTATTCAGTCTTTTATCTTATGAGAGATTTTCCGTTTTTTTGCCTCTGTGGGAAGAAATGCAATAAATATCCCTACACATCACATATGTCCTTGATTAATATTGATTTGACTTCTTAGAAGTAGATAGTTGAGTGGAAAAGTATACGTATTTTTAAATTTGCTAGCTATTATTAAATTGCTTTTAAAAAGATGGCAATGTGTCACATTTCCACCAGAAATCCATGAGAACATACTTTTCCTTGCAAGTCTGCCAGTAATGGGCACCATCATTTCACTTTTGTGGACTGATAGGTGTCAGGAGATAGCATCTTTTGGTAACTGGGTGGCAATCGTGTAACTAGTGTCACTGACTGATTGGAGCATCAGAGTGAGAGGAAGGAGGGTCATTACGGAGATGCCAAGCATTACGGAGATGCCAAGCCTCCCGTATTGGATGCTGTAGGAAAGGAGGAGATGAGAGGGTGGGTTTTCTGTAAAGGTCTTAGAAGAACAGCTGACCAAGCTTCCTAACAAGAGGAGGATAACAGCTCAGGGACTTTAGGGAATATAATAAATGTCTACTTTAGGCAATTGCATTGGTTAGTATCAGGTTCAGCTGAAAGTAACAGAGACTCCTAATACAACAGAAAAAACACTATCTCATGCAGGAGTCAGGAGGTAGCAGTTCAGGGTGGTAAGGCCCTGCCACAGTGTCAGCTTTTTCCATCTGTTGCTCCAACATGTGTGGCTTCAATTCCCAAGGTCACCTCATAATCAAATATAGCTGCTGGAGCTCCAGCAAACACATTCACATCAAGCAGCATCTGCTCCCTTGAACAACATTTCTGGAAATCACACACACTAATCCTGCTTCTAGCTCATTGGCAAGAGCATTCTGGGTACCCAGCTAGAAATCAGGAGTTACATTTCCATGATGAGTAAGAAAAGAAGAATGAAGTATGGGAGAAATTAAAAGTTTCTGTCACAGCTATCGCTGGGTCTCAAGTAGAAATCGTCTAAGAAAAGGCTTAACTACAGTGACAATGACAAGTCCCCGGATTTGGACTAATATCCAGAGCCTTAGACAGCAACAGGTTATCTGGAAAAGATAGACACAATTGTGTTCATTTCCACTAAACCTCCTGAACCAGTGGTTCTTAATGGGGAGTGATTTTGTCCCCCAGACGACATTTGGTAATTTAGACGTTTTGACTTGTCCCAATCAGGAGAGGGGGCGAATGGCACTGGCATTCGTGGGTAGAGACTAAACCTCTACAATGCACAAGGCAGCCCCTCAGTGAAGAATTATCCAGTCCAAAATGTCCAGAGCACTGAGGTTGATAAATGCCGCCCCACACAATTCACAAAAGCTGTGGTCAAATTTCAGGATCTGAGCAAAGAGCTGCATTGCCAAGTTTGAGTGACTAAAATAATTAAATCTCACATTTCTTTGGCTTCGTTTGGGCCGTGGAATCCTCATTTGATGCACTGGGCTGAAATTAAGTAACTATTTTCCAGAAAACAATGACCTCTTTTTACGTGGACTTTTTATGTTGCTGTGTGGCAACATGATCTGTCTTTATAACACCGCTCTGTCCACTGCAGAATTATTTTAACCCTCCAGATCACCCTACCTTCCTACGCTGCCCTGAGATGGGGAAAGCTTTCCTGTTCTCACTCCCTCTCTCTCACTGCACTTCCTATGTTGTGGTGTCTTGAATCCCCCACTTGAAGTGTCTGAAGCCCCCACTAGATTGCAAGCTCCTTCAAATAGGAGACAATATTTTATTTATCTTTGTATTTCTAGTGCCCAGTGCAGAGGATGCAACTCAGCAGGTGCTCAAAAGTATTTACTGAACTGAGCTGAGCTCCTTTTAATTCCTGGACTGTTCTTCATGCCAGGCCTAGTGGATATCTTCTGGTTTGGCACCTACAGCTAAGGTCATATTGCTGCTTATGTTAAGCAAAATGCTCCCCGTTCTGTTACTTTCGCCTGAAATCCAGAGAATGAGAAAACTCAGAGAACAGAGGCTGAGTTGCAGATAGTTTGGTCCTCCTGTGGCTTCTCTGGATAGGCTGCCTTCCTATGGTTATATTTTCTCCCCATCATAGCCAGCTTTCAAATATAAGTATGTCCTAGAAACTCATTGACATAGTGTCTTTTGCATCCTCGAGAAATTGGGGATGTTCCATTTTAGATTTTTCATGAGGGAAAAATGATCTAACCTAACCTGGCTTAAATTTGGCAGGTCAGGAGCAAGGAGGTTGAAGAATAAGGACGGAGGAGGCAGGAAGCCACTGCGATGGAAATGTTGGTAGGCATGGGAGCAGGACAGGGAGAATTTGCTTACTGGCATGTGGTGTTAATTCTAGGTTTCGGTTGGTGGAAAAGGTTAGATGTCAGAGGACCCTACTGTTCACACTTCCTTCAGCAGTTTCCCAGTGAAGGCTTCTTCTGCCTGAAGGCTGCTCAAGGTGATTTCTATTTCACTGAGAATGTATTGTATCCAACAGAAATCAGCACCTTCCATTTGGAGATTTTCTTGAGAACTTAAACAATTTAACGTCTATTAGATAGAGAAGAAAGATCTTCCCACGTGGCACCACTAACAGAGCCAACTCTTTCTGACCACTCATCCATCTTCATGATTCTCTGGGGCATGTTAGGGTTACACTCTATTCAATGAGATGAAT